GAATGTGATTCGGATTTGAGCAGCCGTTAGTGGGGAGAAGAGTTGGGTGACGACACAAATAATGGCTGCGTAGGAGACTACTGTCATCCCAGTTCATCTAAATATACCTGATTAAATAGCCAGCTAGATTTTTACTTTCATTTTACTGAAAACAATTTTCAGTTGATAACAAAATAAACTTAAGTTAAACTTAATTATTGCCAATTATTTTTTATAATATTATACACTGCACCATAGCGTCTGTATTTATATTGTTTGTGATCAGAAAACTGAAGTTGTGTGACGCGTGACAAAAAGTGAAAAGTACAATGTTTACAAACGCTTTACTCTTCTGATTGGCATTAAACCTCGAATTGTAATATATAAATATTTACTGGGGGAAAATATACTGTGAATCGCTGATCAACCGGGCTTAAGGGGGGTCCTCCTTAACTACCAGATTCAGACTAATTGTGAAGGACATTATTTTGTTGCTCGAACATTTAGCGTGTTGCGACGTGCTAACATGGCAAGAGATATTAGTATGAACGCCTAGTGTTAAAAAATACACATTGCGCGTGCGTAACTAGTGCCAGTCCCAAACCGCGAGCGAGAATTAGAAATCCCTAAAACTCGAAGGAAAAGTGAGAAAGTTTCAATTTCTTTTGAGAATCAGAGGCAACCTATCCTCCTTTATAAACGTACGTATGGGATTACTGTTTACGCTTAAAACAGCAAATCTATTAAAGAAAACGTACAATTTTGCGTCTTTATGACGTCATAACTTTGGTATTAATGTGAATTTCAACAAATGCATACGTCGCTTTATGCATTGCAATGTTCTTTAATCATTGGCATTGTTTCTAATGTCAAATAATGTAAGTTGTTTGAGTTTTAAGGGTTTTTTCTGTCCTGGTCACGTGACTTGCCAAATATGGTCGTGACTTAAAACATCTTGAAGGGACTTTCAATTGAACAAACATGGCCAAACAGCTTATATGTAGAAGTCGGAGATCCAAAGATATGATAGTTTTGAAGTCTTCCTAAGAATAGAATGGTAGTTAAGAAGGTCCCCCCTTAAGAGACGCGATCCTAACTGCAGAAAATGTGTTAGCCTCCTCAGACCTTACCATGTGAAAGCCCTTCCAATTGCGCTGAATAGCGGGTTGGTTCAGTGGCCTAGTGGTAAGGCATCTGTCCGGTAACCAGGAGACCCGGGTTCGATTCCCGGCTGAGCCACATTTTCACTCATTTCTTTGTTGTTACGATTTCTGTTCCAAAACTATACAATTATTTCATATATGTCAGAAATCACGGCGAATCGCCTTCGTGGGCAACCACGAAACAGGCTTGTAAGGATGAACTTGTAGTTTATTTGTCTTTTTCTCAAACTATATATATATATATATATATATATATATATATATATATATATATATATATATATATATATATATATACTCAACTGTCTATGAATTTATTTCAGAAAACCGCTGTGAATCGCCTTCCAAACGGGAATAGGTTGGTGATCCAAGGATTATGAGGCAATTAGTTGTACCTATACTCCCTTCCCGTACTCTTAACTTTCTACTGAATTTACTAGGGGAATGGACTGTGAATTGCTGATCGACTTGGGAATAGTGAAGCGATCCTAATTGCAGAATATGTGTAAAGTCTCTTCAGAGCTTGCCACTGATGAAGGCCAAATTACAGCCTCCTTAGTGTGGTTGTTCCAGTGGCCTAGTGGTAAGGCATCTGACCGGTAACCAGGAGACCCGGGTTCAAATCCCGGCTGGGACACATTTTCACTCATAATCTTTGTTGTTGTGTTTCTGTTTCCATTACTCAACTGTCTATGAATTTATTTCAGAAAACCGCTGTGAATCGCCTTCCAAACGGGAATAGGTTGGTGATCCAAGGATTATGAGGCAATTAGTTGTACCTATACTCCCTTCCCGTACTCTTAACTTTCTACTGAATTTACTAGGGGAATGGACTGTGAATTGCTGATCGACTTGGGAATAGTGAAGCGATCCTAATTGCAGAATATGTGTAAAGTCTCTTCAGAGCTTGCCACTGATGAAGGCCAAATTACAGCCTCCTTAGTGTGGTTGTTCCAGTGGCCTAGTGGTAAGGCATCTGACCGGTAACCAGGAGACCCGGGTTCAAATCCCGGCTGGGACACATTTTCACTCATAATCTTTGTTGTTGTGTTTCTGTTTCCATTACTCAACTGTCTATGAATTTATTTCAGAAAACCGCTGTGAATCGCCTTCCAAACGGGAATAGGTTGGTGATCCAAGGATTATGAGGCAATTAGTTGTACCTATACTCCCTTCCCGTACTCTTAACTTTCTACTGAATTTACTAGGGGAATGGACTGTGAATTGCTGATCGACTTGGGAATAGTGAAGCGATCCTAATTGCAGAATATGTGTAAAGTCTCTTCAGAGCTTGCCACTGATGAAGGCCAAATTACAGCCTCCTTAGTGTGGTTGTTCCAGTGGCCTAGTGGTAAGGCATCTGACCGGTAACCAGGAGACCCGGGTTCAAATCCCGGCTGGGACACATTTTCACTCATAATCTTTGTTGTTGTGTTTCTGTTTCCATTACTCAACTGTCTATGAATTTATTCAGAAAACCGCTGTGAATCGCCTTCCAAACGGGAATAGGTTGGTGATCCAAGGATTATGAGGCAATTAGTTGTACCTATACTCCCTTCCCGTACTCTTAACTTTCTACTGAATTTACTAGGGGAATGGACTGTGAATTGCTGATCGACTTGGGAATAGTGAAGCGATCCTAATTGCAGAATATGTGTAAAGTCTCTTCAGAGCTTGCCACTGATGAAGGCCAAATTACAGCCTCCTTAGTGTGGTTGTTCCAGTGGCCTAGTGGTAAGGCATCTGACCGGTAACCAGGAGACCCGGGTTCAATCCCGGCTGGGACACATTTTCACTCATAATCTTTGTTGTTGTGTTTCTGTTTCCATTACTCAACTGTCTATGAATTTATTTCAGAAAACCGCTGTGAATCGCCTTCCAAACGGGAATAGGTTGGTGATCCAAGGATTATGAGGCAATTAGTTGTACCTATACTCCCTTCCCGTACTCTTAACTTTCTACTGAATTTACTAGGGGAATGGACTGTGAATTGCTGATCGACTTGGGAATAGTGAAGCGATCCTAATTGCAGAATATGTGTAAAGTCTCTTCAGAGCTTGCCACTGATGAAGGCCAAATTACAGGCCTCCTTAGTGTGGTTGTTCCAGTGGCCTAGTGGTAAGGCATCTGACCGGTAACCAGGAGACCCGGGTTCAAATCCCGGCTGGGACACATTTTCACTCATAATCTTTGTTGTTGTGTTTCTGTTTCCATTACTCAACTGTCTATGAATTTATTTCAGAAAACCGCTGTGAATCGCCTTCCAAACGGGAATAGGTTGGTGATCCAAGGATTATGAGGCAATTAGTTGTACCTATACTCCCTTCCCGTACTCTTAACTTTCTACTGAATTTACTAGGGGAATGGACTGTGAATTGCTGATCGACTTGGGAATAGTGAAGCGATCCTAATTGCAGAATATGTGTAAAGTCTCTTCAGAGCTTGCCACTGATGAAGGCCAAATTACAGCCTCCTTAGTGTGGTTGTTCCAGTGGCCTAGTGGTAAGGCATCTGACCGGTAACCAGGAGACCCGGGTTCAAATCCCGGCTGGGACACATTTTCACTCATAATCTTTGTTGTTGTGTTTCTGTTTCCATTACTCAACTGTCTATGAATTTATTTCAGAAAACCGCTGTGAATCGCCTTCCAAACGGGAATAGGTTGGTGATCCAAGGATTATGAGGCAATTAGTTGTACCTATACTCCCTTCCCGTACTCTTAACTTTCTACTGAATTTACTAGGGGTATGGACTGTGAATTGCTGATCGACTTGGGAATAGTGAAGCGATCCTAATTGCAGAATATGTGTAAAGTCTCTTCAGAGCTTGCCACTGATGAAGGCCAAATTACAGCCTCCTTAGTGTGGTTGTTCCAGTGGCCTAGTGGTAAGGCATCTGACCGGTAACCAGGAGACCCGGGTTCAAATCCCGGCTGGGACACATTTTCACTCATAATCTTTGTTGTTGTGTTTCTGTTTCCATTACTCAACTGTCTATATATATATATATATATATATATATATATATATATATATATATATATATATATATATATATTATATATATATATATATATATATATATATATATATATATTATATATATATTATATATATATATATATATAATATAATTGTATAGTTTTGGAACAGAAATCGTAACAACAAAGAAATGAGTGAAAATGTGGCTCAGCCGGGAATCGAACCCGGGTCTCCTGGTTACCGGACAGATGCCTTACCACTAGGCCACTGAACCAACCCCGCTATTCAGCGCAATTGGAAGGGCTTTCACATGGTAAGGTCTGAGGAGGCTAACACATTTTCTGCAGTTAGGATCGCGTCTCTTAAGCCCGGGTTGATCAGCGATTCACAGTATATTTTTCCCCCAGTAAATATTTTAAGTAGTGTGAGATGGGCAAGGAAATATAATACAAACTAACTGCCTCATTATCTTTGGATCGCCAACTTATTCCGTTCAGAAGGCGATTCGCAGTGATTTCTGACATATATGAAATAATTGTATAGTTTTGGAACAGAAATTCGTAACAACAAAGAAATGAGTGAAAACGTGGCTCAGCCGGGAATCGAACCGGGTCTCCTGGTTACCGGACAGATGCCTTACCACACTAGGCCACTGAACCAACCCGCCTATTCAGCGCTAATTGGAAGGGCTTTTCACATTTCCTTGCCCATCTCACACTACTTAAAATATTTTACTGGAGGGAAACATATACTGTGAATCGCTGATCAACCGCCGGCTTAAGAGAGGACGCGATCCTAACTGCAAGGAAAAATGTGTTAGCCTCCTCAGACCTTACCAGGTGAAAGCCCTTCCAATTGCGCTGAATATAGCGGGGTTGGTTCAGTGGCCTAGTTGCGTTAAGGCATCTGTCCGGTAACCAGCGGAGACCCGGGTTCGATTCCCGGCTGAGCCACATTTTCACTCATTTCTTTGTTTGTTACGATTTCTGCTTCCAAAACTATACAATTATTTCATATATGTCAGAAATCACTGCGAATCGCCTTCTGAAGGGAATAAGTTTTGGCGATCCAAAGATAATGAGGCAGTTAGTGATATATATATTTCCTTGCCCATCTCACACTACTTATATATATATATATATATATATAATATATATATATTATAGATATATATATATATATATATAATATATTATATATATATATATATATATATTATATATATATAATATATATAAAATGTGAAAAACCGTTCTATATATATAATATATATATAATATATATATATATATAGTATGTGTGGGAGTGGAGCAAACAGCGAACTTCTTACCATGTCAAAACTTTAATGCAAACGTTTCGTCCCGTTCGGGCTTCTTCAGTACATATAACGGATTAAAAATACTTGGAATATTCCAAGTATTTTTAATCCGTTTATATGTACTGAAGAAGCCCGAAACGGGCGAAACGTATTTTGCATTAAAGTTTTTGACATGGTAAGAAGTTCGCTGTTTGCTCCACTCCACACATACTAAAAATATTTGAGTGCAAGCGTGTAGTATCTCATTGGATCCTTCTTCCAAGTGGCATCATTGTGGAAAAGCCAATCTTCACACAACACCGCGGAGGGGCCTGGGTACTGCTAACAAACATCTTACCGGCAGACGGAAATCTGAAATCGGAACTCAGGACAGAAATAGGAGGCTGCCCTCTGCGGGCAGCAACAAACCGCAAAATATTTTTCATAAAAATTGAAGGGCCACAATTTTTTGTAATGATTTATAGCAAGCAAACATTATATTTAAATGTTGCTCAGCACACAGATTTGACAGCATAGAAACATAAAATCGCCGGCCTTCATTCAAATATATTAATATTTTAATTTGAAACATATGGCAAGCAAAACATCGTATCGAAAAGAGAAGAGATAACAACTCACTAGGCACCTTTCCAGTATTTCAGTAAAAGCTGGAAGATTTCGTACTATTTTAGCCTAAGAAAAGCTTGTGAAAATCGTTTGTTTGTTTATTGAGCTCAGCTTTGGGACTGGGAATTTTAATTCAAAGATGCACAATGTGCAGTGACGATTTATATTATTATACTTCGCAAGCAATACTGACACTATTAGAAACATAAAATCGCCTAGATTCAAATGGAGAAATTCAATTTCCCTCTGTACATTTTAATTTCCTAGGACGAGAAACATGCCAAGCGAAATATCGTATCGAAAAGTGAAGAGAAAAACATATAACTTAATAATTCACTAGTATTTCAGCGCAGTCGGAAAGCCGTTTATAGATTTCGTACTATAATCAAAGCAATGTTTGGAATGAAGGTAAGCCAGCAATTTTCAATGTAAAAATACGCCAAACAGGCGTGTTTTCCATATTTTCACTTACCGAGCTCAGCTTAATTTCGGACTGGGATTCCTGCTCGTTCTTTCTCAAGTTCCTTCTTGTTTCACGTTTCGTTTCTAAACTGAAACAATGCAAAACAGTCGTGAAGTTAACGATTAAATACGTAAACAAAGGTGCAAAACTTTCAACCTGCCTAGCAGCAGAAAATTTAAATAAGCTCAAGCTTATAAACCGAATTGAACGGAAAATTAACCTTACCGCTAGCGTCGCTAAGCTATTATACGCTCGCCTGCCAAATATAAAATAAAACTCAAGAACACTTAGCTTTCTTTTGGCCAACAGGCGACTACTTGAATCTGCACTTTGTCTGCTACCCGAAGGACTTTCTTCGCTCTTAAGCAGCCAATAAGATGCTAGAAAGCGAAGGAAAATTTCTTGAGTCGACAAAACACTTTCTTTAGATCAAGAACTAGCGAAAAAATCCGGCGAAAACACGCCACTGAGCTGACGCGACCGGACGCGAGTCGGCAACCAGGTAAAATGGTAAAATGGCAGCAAAACACAGCCTCATTTTCATGCATAGTAGTCACCAGGCTCCAGGGAACATCTAATTACAGCCTTAAAACAAATGACGGAAATTTAATTTTGCAAAACAGACAACTGAGTTGAAAAGAGGATGCTCTAAACCCTCTCATAAATTTCTCCTTTTGGTTTTAAATTTAATAAGTGGCCGATTTAGCGCCAACAGGAAAATGATCAAACGCTGCTCATGCGCTGCTCTTCCCTGATATTTAAAGAAAAATAATAATCGCCCTTTGATAAACTTTACTTCAATATCTAACACTCACAGGAATAAGGCGCTGTTTTATTGAGCATAATGTACTTTTAAAGCAATTTGAAATATTCAAAGCGATCTGGTCACGTGACTAATGACGTCACGTAAGATACGTGTTCAAAAACGTGTTTCTTCACATAAATATCTATCCACATGTAGATTTTGTTGCTATGCGCCTTACATTTCGTGAGATATAGCTGAACTAATTTTCCACACATTTTTACACTCGTGTATAGCCCCCTTAAATTTTAAATGCCAGAATATTAATGGCCATTTCAAAATTCCCCATATCAATGTCTTGCTGAAAATATTGATTACTTTTCAATTGATAGAGACCTGTTCTCACAGTAAACAAAAACGCACTTTCGGGCGTGGTCACGTGACTAATGACGTCATCACACTAAGTTTGATATGAGAGTTATTTTATGGTAAGTGCTATTACCTTGTGGTGCTTCACCCTTCTGGGCCTCAAATTGACAAAGTTATTTGACATTGAAAATTTCCAGTTGCAAAGGACTCTGGGAAGGTTCTTATTATAATTATATATTGCTTTTATAATTATTACAAGTGGAACCGGAATAAAAGCAATATATAATTTAATTGTCATAATGGAAAAGTGGTAAATATGATACCAAGTACTGCCCCTTAAGTTTAGTTTTAGTGGGGTTTAGAAATTGCCGCGAAAATCATGCAAATTTGTTAGTAAAATTGTTTGCCAGAGTTTCAGCAAATGCTGCACACTAATAAAGCAAGAATCAAATTCAGTATTTTGGGTTCTTTAATCAAATGGATCGATCTATTGACCGAGAAATCAATTGATTGATTGGATCAATCAATCAATCAATCAATCAGCCAGCCAGTCAATCAATGAAATATTAAATAATAATAATAAAAACTCCAAACAATCAGACTAATCAGCCAAAAAGAAAGACCGATAAACATCTGGTCGATCACTGTTGACATAGCAGGGTAATTCGTTTCCGGAGTAACTGAGAGCCTGATCTGTTAGTCACGAAATTATTCTGAACCACTTAACTTCACCATCGAAAGACAACATCATTAACTTATAAAACAAACTAATTGTACCAAAAATGACTTGTGAATGAATAATAAAACCCCAATACCTTATTAATTATTAACAGGATACTTAAAATTTAATACCAACCCCACTAACTCAAACTATTTTTTGTTTCCCTTGGGAGTTGAGTTAGTGGGGTTCCCTGGATGGGATGCTAGTCCATCGCAGGTTACCCCTGTTGCCGGTACCCATTTATACTCCTGGGTAGAGTAAGGCACTGTGAGAGTAAAGTATCTTGCCCAAGAATACAATACAGTCACACCGGCCAGGGCTCGAACCGGATCGCTCAATCTGGAGTCCAGCGCACTAACCATTAGGCCGCCGCGTCTCCCAGTGCATTTATACATAAAAGTGTTCTTTTAATGCATTTGCTATTGTCCTCCACAATTTGTTTTTGACAGAATTTGCTAAGTTTGGCTGATAAACTAGGCACATGCAAAAATGGGTAACATCTTAGCTGGATGAAAACATATAGCTCTGTGCAAGAATTATTACAGCGATTTCATCAAAAAGTTGCATACAAATGATCTACATGTACATATATACATGTAGCAACTAAAATAATATCCAAGACAGTGCCACAGCATGGATAAAAATAGTTTTCAAGTGCATGAGAGCAAACCCAGCAACAAAACCCAGCTCAAAACTGTCCAGCAACAAAATACACAGAGTCAAACATAATTTTTATCCCAATGTCAAGCAAAATACAGTAATTTTGAAGCTACAACTACATGTAGCATGGCATTTAACAACGCTGAATGGTCCAGACAAAAACAAACAGCAAAACAACTCTGAACCCATGCAGTGAATCCAATTGAACTCTGAACATTCCAGCAATAAAAACAATTTTGAACCTAGTGACAAATCGATTTATTTTAGAACAGTCAAGAGAGAAAAATAATTTTGAACCCAGCGTGGGCGACACAATTCTCTGTAACTCTGCACAATCGAGCAACTAATATAATTTTCATGAAAGCATCACTGAAAGCAGACAAAAATAGCGACCATGCTATTGCATGCAGTTAGTTTCCTCAGTAAAACTAAATTTAATCATTTCCCACAGTATCTGTCAAAACCAAACCAAACATCGTGGCCAGGGCGAAGCAATATATATTTTCGCGAATGAACTTACCTTATATAGAACTGCTGATCATTCCCTCAACTTTATGTCTCGATAAAGAAGTCCAGTCCTTAAAAATGCTTAAACGGTAATGACAGACCGGTGTTTTCACGTACTCGACAAGCCCAAAACGTGTACGTGAGTTCCAGCGCCATGAATGGTAAGCTTAATTACATCTCGCCAAAAGCCCTGGTCTGCCTCCAGATTTGTACGCCAAGGTTTTCCACCGAATGAAACACTTACTGAATACTGGTAGCTCAGTCTGTTTCCCTCAACAGCTGATGACTCGACTTGAGCAACCCAACAAAAAGCAGTTTTGTTGGCTGTCCAAAAGCACTACATGCAAAACTCGAGCAAAACGGAGCAAAACAAATCAATCTGGGTAACCGCTGGTCAGCGCTGAGTACGTCATGTAAGATAGCAATAGTGTCTCGTTCCACACCTCGACCCAGGCTCTCGAACCCAGTCCCTGTCGGTTATTAAGGCAAAAGCAAATCCATTCTATGAATATAGCGGAGATTTTAGAAAAAAACTGTCACATCATATAGGAAGAGGTTAAGCTCAAA